GCCAAAGCCCATTCTCATAAGCATGTAATCCAAAAAGCTCAAATTATTATGATTATATGCCTTTTCCATATCAAGTTTACATAGGATTCTCTCATTTTTCCTGTGCACAAAATCATCCACCTCCTTATTAACAATAAGTGCAACATCTAGAATTTTTTTACCACCAATAAGTGCATTTTGGCATTTACCAATCACCTTATCCATAACCTTAGAGATTCTTCTAGCAAGTACTTTTGCAATAAGTTTATAAATGCTGCCTATCAAGCTTATGGGCCAAAAGCCCGTAATGTTCTGCACTGCTTCCACCTTAGCAATGAGCACTAAAAAGGCAGAGATCCGTTATCTAGCAAATGACCTAGATTTGCGCAATTCCTTGGAAGAGTTTCAAAATATTTTCCTTGAAAACTTGCCAAAATTTTTGAATAAAATCCATGTTAAAGCAATCATGTCTAGGTGTCTTATTCCTTGTACAATGCATTAGATCTTCAAGGATCTCTTCTTCAGAAAATTCTTGTTGTAAGGATATGTAATGTCCCCAAAAATTAAAAGGAAACGTATATATAAAAATTCTAAGTGCGGAAGCGAAATAAAATATTATGATTAACATTCCTTACACAATAAAAAAAACGTATTAAACGTATGAAAGAATAAGCTAATTAAAGTAAATACTAAAAATGAATATTATAAGGAAAACTATAAAATCTTTAGGCATCTACTCGCTGTCTTCTTGCGGAATGGGCTCGGGAACCAAATCCTCCTGATCTGAAATGGTTAAGTAAGAAATGAGCTACACTATCCCAGTAAAAACGTCACACTATTTCACAGTCACAGGAGTAAATGTTGATAGAAAACAAAAATGACCAATTGAACATAATTTATAACAAATTCATTTATCAACGATAAAACTCTTTACCGTCCACATATGTCGGTGAGATTCATGAAAACAATTTATGAAAACAATAACATTATAATATCATGAAATAATACGCACTCTGTAACATAATATGTCATACTTTTAATGTTTCAATCATCAGGCAACAAATTTTCTCTTTTATTAGCCTACCAGAAATTTATGAAGATCCATAGGGGTTCCCGTTACACGTGAAACATTCACTTTAACAACTTAATTCCAGGGCCATCCCCATACCCTGTCCGGTATGGGCGCCAAAACGATAAATCTCAATACCCCTTCCGGTATGAGGGTGAAGCGGGCCGTCCCCATACCCCGTCCGATATGAACGCCAAAACATTTAAAGTCTCCATACCCGGTCCGGTATGAGAGACAACGTTCCTGGTAAGATTCCCTATGGACCCGGTCCGTCCACCATCTCCTAGGATATCTAGTGAGGCTGTCGACTTATCCATTTATCAATTCACATACATTTTCTATTCTTTTCTTAGTTTTCTATTTCTCACAAAATCATGAATATTTAAACTAGTAACGAGCATCCAACAATGCAGGCATATCATCGGATTCACAAAATCAAGCCATAATGAAGTAAACAGTGATTCATGCATTCAAAATCTTAGAATAAATAAATCAGATACCATAATGCATTTAAAACTGTAAAATAACTAAAACAGCAACTGACCGAAAATATATCAGATCCGGGCTCCATTAGCAACCTTAATTAATTATACATATCTATTAATTCATAAAATACCGTTTTATCATTTTAAGCTTTAATGCCGTGATAAGAAATAGGGTGAGTGATCTTTACTTGATTCGAAGTCTAAGGTCGGTTTTTCACTGCGCTTACAAGCGGTCGCTAGATTCCCTGAATTTTTCTCCGAGAACTGAAACACACTTCCAGTAACTGCACATGTCCCCAAAAAACTCCAAATCAGACTTGGAGCCACTCAGCCAATTTTGAAAATTTCGGCACGGCAGCTCCACTGTGCTCTAGCGACGGCGCCGTTGCCTGCGTCGGTGATCCGCCTCGGGGTGGCTGTCTTCGGCCGTTTTCGGCCGAATTCAGCCAAACTAGCACTAGTTCCCAGGAGAAAATACACGTAAGGCCCTCGGTGAGCAGAAAAAAATTTAAAAAATCGAGATTTACCGGCGGCAGAGCTCTCGGGTGCGACGGCTCCTCCGACGCGAGTCGCGATTTGGTGTTTTGCTCCGGTCAACCTGTAGAGGAAAGTACGGTGGTCACAGTAGTGTAAAAATTACATTGAACAGGAATCGGGAAGAGTCTCATCGGAGGCAAAAACTGAGGAATCTAGCGGCGGCGCCGTTGGGCTTTAGCACCGTTTTCCGGTCAATTGGCCGGTGGTTTGGCCACAGGCGGGTTTAGCATCGAAATCCGAGCCGAAGGGAAAATTTTTACCTTGTTTGGCGGCTGGAAAGTGCTCCGGTGCGGTGGCGGGTGGCGGCGGTCGGTTCATCCCCTGGCTGGACTGTCTTTTCCAGCTAGGGTTTGGGGTTGGGTGTGGATGAAATTATTTATAACCTTTACCTTTTAATCTGAGCCGTCCATCACGATTTAATCTGATCCATCCGATCGCGATTAAATTGGAAATGAATCTGGGCCGTCCATCGCGATGCGGTCTGGGTCGTCCGTGCTTGATTCAATTTGGGCTGTCTGTGTGTGCGGGAACGGATCTCAGCCGTCCGATCGCGTGCACTCGGATCGCCCACGTGGCTCTGTTCCCCGTGGCCTCTCACGTTAGTGTCTCTACCACGCGGCGTGTCCTGGTTGGCCGGGGCTGCTGACGTGACCTATTTTTTTTTTAAATTGCGTTTTGACCCCCGATTTCCGATTTTCTTTTCAAAAACACCCTCAGAATCCGAATTTTCACCCATTTTTTCCAAAATTGTTTTCAATTAAACTCCAAAAATAATTTTACCCATTTTTATCATTATTGTTATTTTAATTTTCATTTAATTAAATTAAACTAAATTAAAACCATATATTATTACTTAAATAATCATTTATTTCATTTAAAATTTACAAAAATTTAAAATAAAAATTAAATAATATTCATAAAAATAATAATAAAATTTTGGGGTGTTACAGGATAGCCTATTAGTTTCATCTAACATCCTGAGATTAATACTATCGCGTTTAGGCCTCCATGCAAAACCTTCTTGATACGATTTGTTAAAATAATCTCTAACTTTCTTTTTCGGAAGCTTGTCTTCTTCCACTCATTGATTGTCAATGTCCAACATTTTTATGTAGTTAATCCTCCTATGTTGGTTTGCCATACAATGGAAGTATTTTGTATTTTGTCTCCCTCCTTGATCCATCAAGCTCTTGATTTATGTCTCCATGTCGTCTCCTCCATTTGTAATTTGGTAGCTAAGTCCAATTTTAAGTTCTCTCTACGCTCCAAATCATCTGACATCAAAACCTCTTCACCCTTGTTGTCAATGGACTCGATTTCCTAGAGTAATGTCGTTGTGTGCAATTCATACCTCTTTCCCTCCTCTTTGCATCAGTTCCTTTTTTCTTCTTTTTAATCTCTTTAAATTTTGTGCGATTCTGAAACTTGCATTACCTTCTATTATTGTGCCATTCCACCACTCCGGGATCTTGAGGCAGAAACCTTCGATCTTCAACCACTTTCCCTCAAATCTAAATGGACAAGGGTCCATTTAATGCCATCAAAAACTAAACACATAGGAAAATGATCAGTTTGGTGGCCTTGATACTGGAAATAGTCAATCCAAAAACCTATTTTTATTTTCTAAATGGCTTTGGTATTCTCTTGAATCTCATTCTTTATAGCACAAGGTTATGAGGGTTAAGTACGAATTGCACAAGATTTTGCTTGGTCAGTTACTCTAAACAAGCTAAACAATGATGATCTGTTGCAAATTCGCAGGTCTTATTGTGCCATTGGTTCAGGTGTTTTTATGCTTGTAAGGCAGTAAAAATTTCATAATTTACCTCTTTTGCACATGATGTGGCTTAGAGGCTCTGTATAAAATTTTTAAGACTTCTGGTTGTTGTTGGGTTATCCCTCATTCCTTTAAATGTTTTCTGTTTGATTTCCGGGAGGGTGGTGGGAAAGAAACAAATGTTGGTTTGGTATTGATAGTATTCATCGACTTAAAAAAGGTGTAAGTGTTATCATATTCTCTCAAAAAGGTTCTATTTAGGACGGATGTCACATTCCATGAATATGAGTTACACTTTCATAAACCTTATCTCTAGGGAAAGAGTTAAACAAGAATTTTTTCTTGGAGTTGCCAGCATTGCATGTGTTTAATCAAGAGTTCTTTCCTTGTTGAGTCTTTACCTTGTTCTCCTGAGTCCAACTAGGTTTTTGAAAATCCTCCTGAACTAGTACCTGATACTTCCTAACAGAACATAACATATCATACTTGAGGATGTAGGTTTTGGAAAAAGAATAAAGGTGCTTTTAGGAAAATAGTGACCATTATAGAAGTTGTGCAAGTCCTTGAATTCAGCTCGAATTTTGAGAATGAGGTTAGAAGTTTTGATTGTTTATTGCAAAATAGCAGAGAATTTCATGTGAGTAACTTGCCTTGGACATGATTTTCCTATTGCTATCAGGAAATGGACTAGATACTGTACAAAACGACCTTTTGTATCGACTCTCAATTATGTCCTTTGAAAAGTTCTGTTGATTTTTGGAGAAAATAATAATTTTATTTATTATTTTTTAGATTGTTACACTTGAGATATTTATAAAATTTTTAACCTACTAATTAGAGAATAACTATTATACTAAAATTTTAATTGCATGAGATTCTTATTATAGTAGAATTTTAATTATATGATCTTAACTAGTTAAATAATTAAAAAATAAAATATA